AGAAAAATTGTCTCGCACGACACAGTGAAACGACTTTCTTAGTATCTGACCAAGCAATGCATTCAATATAGTCTTTCCACTTGAAAGTGTTCTTTCCCTGTTGTCATACCATTATGAATGTTGTGTTTTAAAATTTTAGAACCTTATTTGTGAATATGCGTAGATACATCAGTAAGTTGATGAATAAAAAAGTATTGATTTTTTTTACACAACAAATATTAGCTGTTCAACATAATTAATTGCCGCAAATTGTAAATATTAATTACATAGTTTGAACATTATACAATGAAAATTTCAAACCAACATTCAAATAATAATAACCACGTGTCAGGCTGTAAACTTGTATATAACTATCCCTTCCATTAATTCCAGTCCGAAACACCTAAATAAGAAAACCAATAAATAAAAATGTGATACTAACCCAGTACCTACATATAAGTGGTATGGGGACAAAAACTTTAGAATACTACGTGTTACGGTTGTACCATTCACGGGAAATTAGTGCGCAGCTAACACAAAGTCTGTCTTTCAATAGGTTTCACCGTAGAGCATCGTTCAACACGAAATTTTGCAAACCACTTTTGACACGTTTGGTCATTCGCAGAACCTTCTCAATAAACATGACAATTTTTTTTTTGGCGGTGGACGTCTGAGTTGAATTTTTACCTTTCTTAATATAACAAGCTTACACCGAAACTGTTTCTTATTTTCTACCATCTTCAATATTAGAATCAATAAAATATAGAATATATAGAAATATACTAATTTTGATCACATCTTTTTAAGATTCACGATTGCAATCTTTTCGAATGTAGTTAGTTAAAATGTAAATGTTTCTAATGACAATCTAACGACTAAAGCAAAACGAACTTTTTGGTCAAACCGCTATTTGTTCCGACTCTCATTTTACAAGTATGTGAATTTTGATGTATACTTCATAGTTTCGCCAGACACAAAGTTTTCTGTATGTGTATAAAAATGTTATCAAATGAAACATAATTTAAAAACAAAAACAAAAAACAAACTAAGAATCACGTCCCAGCCACAGAATTAACGAATTCATTTACCCTGAACAATTCTTTAACCCCTAACACATTGCCTCGAATTTGGTGGCGGGGTATCTGTGCAAAAATAAGGTTTGCAAAACTGGAATGGTTAGTCTGCAGAACGGTGTGAACGGGTTGTCGTCTGTAAAAATAAAAAAATAAATAAAAATAAGCAAGGCAGATTGCCAGAATTGGCTTGAATGCTTCGACCATATCAGATGAGGTTTTGTGGGGCGGAGGTATGAATTTGTGCGTGAGTTTGTTGGCTTTGTGGGGAGCCGGATGTTTGCAAAGAGAAAGGTCGAATGTTGATGGAAAGAAAAACAGATTAGTAGGGTGATAGTGGCAAACAAAAATAAGAGAGAGAGAGGGGGGAATGTCTATGTATGTGTGTGAGCTTGCGCACGCGTACTTGTGTGTGTGTGTGTGTGTGTGTGTGTGTGTGTGTGTGTGTGTGTGTGTGCTTGCGCGTATCTGTCCGGGCAAACGCCTGAAGAAAGAAAGAATTTTGAGGCCTCTTGTAGTTACACGTACGGTAATCCATATATGAAAATCATCAAATAATTGAAAAGACTTAACAAAATATACCATCATTTTTTATGTCCTGGGTAAACTAGTTTTTATATTGTGTTAATTTTTACTTAAAGAAGGCCTATAGAAAAAACTTAAAGGAAAATAATGAGAAATACAGAGAAAGTGAATAAAAGAAATATGGATGAGCTGAGCACAATAAATAAATTGACTCTATGAAGCAAGCAAAAATAAAATGAATTGGTTGACATGAAGCAGGAATAGAACTCACCATGCTGAATTTATAAGAACGTCTGCTTATCAGACGAGCAACACTTGACATCCACAACAACAGATAAATGTCTGACGTCCTCTTGACTGAAACAGTTACCAGAATTTTTTGACAACATTTAGAAGTTTGTGTAAAAAGAGACAAAGAGGGGGAGAGATAGCGGAGACAAAAGAGAGAGGAGGTAAAGAAAGAAAAAGAGTAAAGTTGGAAAGAGAGAGAGAGAGAAATGACCTGAAACAAAAGACAAAGGATCGAAAAAGAGTTTTACGATAGAAAGAAGGAAAAGAGGAAAAGTAAAATATGAGATAGAGAGGGGAAGTGAAAGAGAAGTTTACCGAGAAACATTACACATGAAGAGAAAAAGCACGGAGAGAAAGAGAGGGGAAGACAACGGTGGTGAAAAATGTGTAAGAGAGGGGAATGAGAATGGGAGTGAGAAAGAGAGAGAGAGACTTATCGAGAAAGAGAGCACACGATAAGAAACATACAGTAACAGAGAGAGAGATAGAATAGAAAAATAATTATTAAAAATGAAGAGAGAGGGAGAGATTAGAAAAAACGTAAGGTTGAGAGAGAAGAAAGAGACGGCGAGAACTGAAGAGGCAAAATAAGAAACAGAGAGTAGGGGGCGAGGGTAGGTGGGTATTTCCATTCTTTGAGTCTCAAGCATGCATCTGCCACGTGTCCTTGTGTTGGAGACATTTGAAAACACGACACTTCATATTTTTTTTCTTTATTCGACAAAAAAAGGTTGTCTCTTTTTTATTTTTATTTGTTTTTATTCGAGATTCTTTAGCGAATTCTGAAAGGGAACTGACTATTTCATCAATTCCATGAGTTAATTTTAAAAAGTTATAGCATTTTTCTGCCTCTCTGTTGATAATATTGTTGCTGATGTAGTGTTTTTTGGGGTTTTTTGTTTTTTTTTAAATAAGGAACATTATTAGAAATATTTTCTTTCTCGGGCTCTTTTCTTACTCTCCTGATCAATGTCAGTCCATACTAATCAGCGAATTTTTTTATACCACTACCAGCAAAATTAAAATAAGGAACATCAACCTTATCATCAATATGTTTTTTTTTACAATCTAGGTTTTTTTTTTATGATTACAGTCAAAATTATTGACAGGTAATTTGCTGGTTTAAGGTGTAAAAATAAGCTTTTACTTTTTATTTAAGATAAAACATCCTCTCGACTGATCAACGAAGACGTTTAAATAAAAAGAAAATTAATTACTAAATTTAAATTAAGTCTATCAGATTAACAAAGACAATTTGTCAAAATTATGCGATACCCACAGGGTATGTATTACCAATTTGATGATGTACTTAAATACAGACGTAAAAGTTTAATCATGTTATTTCGAAACATAGGGGATCATGGATCTCCACATATTCCTTTTCTTTATTATCTGTAGATTTCTATTACTTCTTAAACGGAGTGGTCTTCCATAGCCTTCTTCTCAGTTTGAAATTTAAAGAATTAATCTCCTAGACTGCTTGCCAACCAAGGTTGAAGAGCCCAGTCTATGGGTTTATGCCTTTCCGATGTGTGAAAGTGAACGCAACAGACGAATTTGATCTCTAGACATTTCTACTTTCTGCGTTACTAACCGTTATGCCTCCTGCATACTACAGACTTGATAGAGAAAGACAACCTTTTTGTTCTTATGTAAAATTTTTATTATTATTATAATTTTACAACTAAACTCTGGAAGGACAAGGTCGTGGTTCAATTCCACTGAGTGGGCATCTAGGCTTCTCTTCTTTCTTTTTTCTTTCTTTCGCTTTCAAGGACTGCTTCGCGTGTCGAACGCAGTCTAAGCGAATCTGCTAGTTTAGGTTGGTTTAGGTCGAACCAGTGCAGAAATTTCAATTCTTTTTGCAAGGAAAAAGTGAGTGGAAAAAACAATGAAAGTTGATGACTCTTCGTTTGATTCGGCACACACGCAGACGCGCACGCGAGCGCGCATGCGCTCGCAAACACTCACACGTCAACGCCACTTTCCATCGATACACACATACGTCATCATCCAACACGTACATACGTGTGTGCATATCAGTCACCCACAATAATAATCATACATACACACCCGTGCAATCATTTTTAGCACATACAGTACATTCCATCTAGCTCTCTTTCTCTCTCTCTCTCGAAAGAAATTAAGAAGTATATTATTATTATTATTATTATTATTATTACTACTATTACTACTACTTCTACTACTACTACTACTACTAACTTCTTTCACACTAGTAGTAACTGGTAGCTTACACTTGAAGTTAATTGACGGCACGTCTCGACAATATACTCTATCTAGAACTTTCCCCAGTGCAGTATGTTAAATGTTTTCAACAATGCCGTCATTTGAAGGATGCCATCTCTTCCCTTATCCGTTCATATCCTCTTCTTTTCCCCAGGCTCTTTGAGGCTGTTTCCAATGCTCCGATAGTAACTGGTACGACCGTCATCTTTATATTTCTTGTTTATCTGCCAAAGTCGAGATACTTATCTATTTATCCATTTTCTTTGACATCTACTTCGTGGTCCGCCCAAACAACAAATTCCACTCTGGCGTTTCTTATTACCAAAGTAATATTAAGTAAAATTTCGCCTCTATCTTTGTTCTTCTGTCAAGGTATGTCATACCAGTCGCCCGTCTCCATCGTTTGACAGTGAACTCAACACACAAAGGAATTTTAGTTTGGAAGAAACTGTTTTTCATCAAGCTCAAACGATGAGAAGAACGGTCGTCATAGCAACAGATGTGAAAGGAAAAATATAAGTAACAGTAGTGAAAATAATACAAAATTGTAGGCAGCAGACGCAGTAGGATTATATCAACAGCTGACGACACAAAAACGACCCACAAATTTGTTGCTGAAAAAGAAGAAAAGGCCAGTGAAATTAGTCAGTTGATGTAGTAATAGCAAGCATTTTATATTCCTACTCGCTTTTAGTCTTCCAGTTGAAAAGGTGCTAAGGGTCTTACGAGGTTGCCCCTTGGGACTGGATTAGTCCGGTTAGGTCACAATATGGCGTGTTTGCTGTTATTAGTCTCCATATTCAACTGTCGTTTGTAAAGTTATTAACTGAATTATGACAGTCATTTAACGTGCAATAAGTATAATTTTCCCAGATTTGAAAAAAAAATCGACATTTTTCTTAGATTATTATTCAGTAACAAATATCGATAAATCGACATTGTTTACAACTGTCACCATTCAATTGATGTTTTGTATCGATATAGATTAGTCATTGTGAATTGAAGTTGATGTCTTCCGACATAAAGCAAAGATGAAAAGGTATTGAGAGAGAGAGAAATAGTGTATTTGAGTCAAGTTATTTACAGTGACGTCAAACACAATTAATTTATGATGCATTTACTTATACTAGTCATTGTAACGATGATGAGTGATAAATAAAATTTTGATTTTCCTTTAATTCCACAAGTTTACAGTTAAGATTTACGTACACAGAGTCCAATCATCCTCATTCCTTTTTTATACCATTAGTAAGGAGGAAGTTTCCTTCTTCCTTAGAACTACTACTTTGTTGTGCAGATTCCTGAGTGGATGCTTTCCCGATCGCTACGATCTTAACCTCTTCACCTATAAGGTCAACCGCAGCGCCGGATTTAGTCCTTAAGAGACCTCTGCGGCTAATATAATTTGGGGGCCTCTTCATTACGCACATCCCCCACGTCTATATAAAAAAAATATGTATTTTATTCGGTTATATATTTTGTATATGATTCTATATATCTATAAAAAAAGATGCCTCAAAATCTAAATGAGTCCATTTCAACATCGAGACCCACTTCTTTGAATTGTTTAAAATTAGTTTAAAGGATCCCCATTAAATCTGAAAATAAACAAATCTCCTCTGTTCTTATATCTTTATTTATTTATAGTTTTATCAGGGACCCAATACTAGAAGGTCGTTAGGGGCCGTTCTAGACTCGAGACACCTGCGCTGTAACCTATACTAGCCCATATGTAAATCCGGCATTAGTCAACCGTTATCTATCCTATATCTCCTCATGAAATGAACTTCTTACTTCCTCTTCTAACTCATATGCAACTTTATTCAGTAGCCCTCTACTTTGAGTGGCTCTTGGGCTTTGTATTGGGTGAACAACAGTATAAAATAACTTAGATTAATAGAATTATTATTATTATTGAATTAGTGAGTAGCACACCGAGAAAATAACGCTAGGGTACTGTTGTGTAGGAAACCTACCACCCCTCTTGAAGATGAACTTGTCTACAAACAAAGACGTTAAATAGTGGCATGTCAAAAGACAGACAGAGTTGGAGAAGTTTTTGGCTGAGCTAGTGATAGACTACTCAGGCGATTTCTGTACCTACTTACCAACCGAATAAACCCCTTTTTATTGTTACGTGTTATTTGGCGTTTGTCTTTATTAACCCCAAATCAACATCATAACAGGTACAAACATAGGAAACCCAATATACCCATCCTGACAACCATCATCATAAGTGTATACCAGGCACATGCAGCACAGCCAAATAAGCGTGATATGATAAGAGGTTTAGATAAAATCAGCACAAAACCTTGAAGGTGGATCCCAGTTAGAAATACCTTCGGATCGAGTAACCGTGCAGGATTTTCTTGGCAAGCCACGATGATCATAAGACATGCTTAGTGGTGTACAGGGTGGAAAATTTCTACCAGGAAAAGGACCCAGTCGAAAGGACCCAGTCGAAAGGACCCACTTAATACCAAAACGCTTCATCAAACAAGGAACTGAGGATGTTTATTATCTTCCGAATGATATTATAGCATCAAAAAAACTTTATTTAAATCTTCCCAGCACCTAAGCAATATTTTTCTTCTTTTTTTTTTTTTTTTTTTTTTTAAATTTTTCATTTTTTTTCAGTTATTTCTACGGAAAATTTCCCGGTATCCCAGCGGGCCAGTCTGACACTAGTCGTACATGTATCGTTTTATGAGTATGATATTGTAATTATTTACATTGTTCGAACTATTGTCCTCATATTTATTGCCATATTCACAACGTTTCGGCCGCTATACGCGGAAGAGCCATGGCACGTGGAACTAGAACAATCTACTCCGGTGGACGAAATAAAGGGTTCAGTTCGAAATTGCAATCACCTGAAGAAGGCCGGAGCGTACAACGGTCGAAACGTCGTAAATATGGCATTTAAGATGAGGACAACTGTCTGAACAATGTAAATAATGAATCAAAGAAAGACAATCAGGAAAGCCATCAGGCGTTTGTTGGATATATTAGCTGTTCTTTCTGTAATTTGTCAGGCAACATAAGACATTTATTGATTAGTTCTTTATTTCCTCAGACATGTGTGATTGGAAAAAAACATATTCATATCAACATAAATGTTTGCGTAGTATGAAATGAAAGTTGATGGTCTTGGAATTAAATAAAAAAAAAAAACACGGTCCAGCCTTGTGCCAGAGGAATTTTCAAACGGATGTTAATCCTTTTTAATATACATGAATAACCTATAAAGAGGTATCGATAAATTGTTCTTTTTTTTTTTTTTTTTTTTATTTATCATAGAATTTTTAAAATAGCAGTGTCGGTTACACACTCATATCTCCATATAAAGAATAACGCACGTTCCCCGCCTCCACCAATGTTGTAA